CAGCATTATCACGCAGGCGCCTCTGGCAGCCGCTTTAATCCATGTAACGACCTCACCTTTCCTCCCCACACATCCCACCCCAGGGGAGGACATCCATCACACAGTAATCTCGTGTGTGGGAAATTAACGTCTCCTACCCCTAACCCTGCAGGAGACGGGACCTCCATTTTATTCGTCCTTATCCGAGAAGACTAGAATATCTATCCATTTCATTGATGTTATAGAAAGGTAGCAAATTCTCCTCGGTTATTTTAAGACCATGAGTATTGGTCCGGCCGGGCTCAAATCCTCGGCTCCCGCACAACGCAATCCAGCGCTCTAACCAATTGAGCTAACCTGCGTCCTTTTATTTCGCTCCACTGCTGGTCGTTCGTTTTGCTCCATTTTACTCTCTGAACTCCTTAAACACGCTAAAATAAATTGGAATTTATTAAATTCATGTACCAAGCCTTAAGTATGTAAACTTAGACAATACGATTTATGTGCAGCGCTTGCATATTCTTGTTTCATTACAATTGATGCGTTGATGACAGGCAGGATTTGACGGCCTATACTTATGTACAACAGTAGGTTGGCCCTAGAACTTCCAAGAATGGTTAACATGTAACCTTTCCTTGTCATGAGAACAGAGAAGCCCATCAGGTAGAGGGCGATATTTCGATATAAGACCAAATTATTCTATCTAATTCACAGGGAAGACTATGTCAGTAAGCAGGGAGAATTACTGATTGGATCTAGGGAGTTGGGGGAATGTTTTGAGTCGCTTTTTTTAACGTAGGAATGTTAAATTGTGAATATCATCAGAGACTGACCATGCGATCTTTCTTTTGTGTGTATCGAAGGTTTTCAGTATCGTGATACAGTTGAAGCTGTTTTAAGGGGGGGGGGGTGAATGGTGGGTTGACTGTTTTATACAAGATTACTGCTTATACAGGTTGACCAGCAAATGACTTACGTGATGTCCATGCGTTATACTTTTCCTAACAGTCCAAAGAGACCGGAGACCGACTGTCCTACTTTACATCTTGTGAAGCAACTATTTATTGCGCACACCACAAGATATATAATGTCTTGCGTACACCTCTACGCTGTGTTCATACAACCAAAACCACTATACGGAATCACCCCACCCTAAGAGGCTCCTTTTTGTCATTACGTCTGGAAGACTTCTGGACTCAAATTACACGACGTACAACACAGAGGCCATGTTGGTTGGCGTTCAATGAGTGTGGTTTTTGTTCGCCGTTGGCTTGTGGCTTTTTTGATAGCCATAGGAATTATTTTTATAATTTTTATTACCCTCAGGAAGGTAAGCCTGCTTAGTTAAGCTAGTCTTGACTTAAGTAGTTGGGTTTGGCGGGAATTTTGATTTGAAGGAAGCGGCATTTAAATTACCTGATGATGATTATGTCAGTGAAGAATTTCATAGCAGAACTCTTTATGCTAAGCGCTGTCGTTGGTAGCGTGAGATAGTCATGTTAAAAGTTTGTGAACCCTTACTATGAATGTAGAGGTGTCAATATTCTAATTGTGATCGTAAAATAGATGACAGTGACCTCAAAATGAAAAGAGCTGTGGACACTTGTAAGCTAAAAGAAAATCTTAACAGATGACAGTGCGAAGCTTTCAAACGAGGCTGTCAGGAACTGGCCTTTATTGAAAGCTATTGGTCAATTTTGTGGGCTATATTTCACAGTAGGGCCAGCTGAATTAAAAAGTTTGTTTGAATTAAAATCCCCTCCTCTCACTGAACTCGGAGATATAATAGATATCTTGCAAACCTTGCTTTCTCAGTTCATACTGTGAGTTACAGCACTCCTTTTGCTCTGCTTGGATTTATGGCTCCTGGGCGGTGCATGTGGGTCATACATCAGAGTGAAAAAAGCTTGGTCACCGTCAGTCTGTAACTTACAGTATGGACTTCAAACTCTTATAGTAAGAGGTATATAATTATTGAATATTTTTAATCATGGTAATGCCGAGATGTACTCGGTGGTTACCTGCACCCCAAGTAGCTAAATACTAATAACAGGAAGTAGGTTTTGCATGTTTGTTTCTTTTTAACAACTGAGTGAAGAACATAGTATTGTTGGCTTCTCTTTCAGTCTTATCAAGATTCAGATGTCCTTGAAGTTCCCACTACTGAGTTTCAGTGGATCAATATTGAGAACTTGACTGAGTTTAGAGATTGCAGAAATTCTATCCAAGGAGCTCTATTGATTGTTGATGAAAGAGGTAAGGAATTGTTTTATCAAAGGCTTACAAATTGTTTTGCAAACTTAAGTAGTTATAGAGATTCTTCTGAATGTGCTTTGACCTGTTGACCCCTAACAGTGACTAACATCTAAATTCTCTCAACAATGTCATCCCTGAATCAAACATCAAGGTCTTGAGAATAAAACAAATGGTCCCTAACTTAAGAAGCTCTTGATTATTAAACAAATTCTCCTTGTCAGCACCTTAGGAAATGTAAAGAGAACAGTATGGAGAATATGTAGACTGATGTTAGGGTGTCAAGGGTTAAGTTGATGTCAGCAGGAACTTACATTCATTAAGGCCAGTTAATGTGCATTTTTGAGGCCATTTAAGTAAGAAAAAGCATTCTAAGGGGAACACTTTTCACTGTTTTATCTTAACTGACCTGTTCATTGTGATAAAAAGGTTAGACAGCCTTTAAATTACAATAATCAATCAATCAATCAATCAATCCTTTATTTAAACATGTGACACCTAGGAGTACAGAAGTTCTCGTTAAAATGTGTACGTGTATGTACAATTAGAAATAAAGCATAATTTCTGTAAGAATACAAATAATAAGTAGATCTATTAAATAACTAAAAACTGGATCAAAGATCATAGACAAGAGCTATCAACAAAAATATACAATATTAACAATAAAAAAATTGTGTTCAGAAAGTCATTTGCTGAGTTCTCTTCTTTTTCCAGGATTTGTCTGTAATCATAAAGACCTCTCTGCTAGTGGGTGTTGTCACAGTGGTGGAGAGAGCACTAAGCGTTATGAGTGCAGATACTGTCAGAACAATAACTGTTGTAGCATTTATGAACACTGTGTTTCCTGTTGTTTAAACCCAGACAATGTAAGTGTGGTGATAACTTTCCTCCAACAGTTCATTGTTCAATTTAATGAAAGGTTTCCATTGAGAAATATCATTGCAAAAGCAGGGTATAAAGTAACAGGGGGATGTATGCTGTACCAGCTCCACTTCTCATTAAAGCAGGGCTCAGGTTGTAAAATCTGTTCCATTTAATGTTAAAAATTAAAGCAACTTTAACAGTAAAAGTTGAAACAAACAAAACGAATATCAACTAAAGTTCCCAAAGTCCAAAACTTTCAAACAAAACGAGAACTACATGCCATAGTCATATGATGTCACCATGTGATGTGACTTAATACGTAAATGCAATGCTAATTTCTGTAACACAGGTCATTATGAAATTTGATTGGAGAATTCTCTATGCCTGAATTTTTCAAGAAGTTGAGAAGAAACAGAGAGAAACACCTTAACATACTTTGTGTTTATCTCTTCACTTCTTTGAGCTATTTCCTCTACCTACATGCATTGCATCAGAACAGAGTGCAGTTAAATCATCTATATTTGTCACGTGGCAGAAGCATCATTGTCTCAATCAATTTACCAGCAATAAGGTAGCGTTTTTGACAATGGACTTAGCAATTACTTGTGTATTCCAAATTTGACTTTTTAACCCTGTTGCTACCAATATCTAAAGGCTGATAGTTTCTAAAGAAACTGTTTGGGGCTGCATCGGTGGGGGTAACGAAATAATTTGAATATATCAACAAAGTTGAAATCATTATGGTAAATTGGCCACCGTTACGGTTATAAAAACTGACATTTCGAGCGTTAGCCCTTCGTCGGAGCAAATAGAGGAATTGTCTAATCTCTGTTATCTCTGATCTCTAATTCTCTTTTTCAGCTGCTCTGCATTTACCTGTAAAATAATTTACAAGAATTTGGTGTTGAATTAAGATAACAGCTACCCACTGATAAGTTTGCATGTTCTTATTACCTGTTAGCTGGAAAAAGTGTGGATATTACAGGGAGATGTAACATGTCAGTCACTTCTGGGGGTTAAAAGGTTAAATTGTTAGAAAGCTAACATTTTCTTTGTAATTGTACATTTATACGTAAAATTATGTATATGTTTGATCTTTTTTTAGAAAAGATTGCTAGAACAAATTTTAATACTTGGATCGTCAGTGCCTAATGTGATTTTCAAGTCTGTCAGCGACCAGTTTGAGCTGTGCTTGCTGAAATGCCGCACTTCCTCCAAGGTGCTTGTCAATTAATCAGATTGTTAATTAAAAGTCATCTTAAAGAGTTTTAAGACATAGTTACAACAGATTCTGTTCTTTTAAAAGTGACTGATATAAGAGAACACAAACGTCTCAACATCAAAAGGTGGAACATGGCCTAAGGATCTTAGATTGTGTCAGGGCTTGACACCAGCAGTAACCAACTAGCCACAGGCAAGTAGAAATTCAGTTTTGGCCAGTGATTCTTGATTTCCACCAGCTAGTTTGGCTAGTAAGCATACTGAAATTGTCCTAACATCTAAGTTGACCCACCAGCCACTTGGCTAGTAAGTTGAAAACTTAGTGTCAAGCCCTGTGTGTTACAACAACAAAATGTTTTATTTGTCTTTTGTGTACTGCCATTAATCGTTTGACCCATAAGGGTTGTTAACATTTAATTTTTCCTTACAATGCCATTGGCAAGTCAAACATTAAAGTCGTAGGAATAACAAAAATGTTTGCCAACTGAGAGAAGTTCTTGCTTGTGAAACATTACTTCTCCTTGTTAGTGCATGTTTTTTCTTTTCAGAGATGCTTGTTTAAGGGTTACAAATTTATTGCTGATTTTTGAGTATTACTTTTCAGAGTGTGTGGCATGAGAATTCATACAAAGACAAGACATTTAAACACTGTTTTGGACTTACAGGACCAGAGTTTGCTGGAGCTTTTTAGTTGTTTTCTTTTAACTTGAAATCAGCGACGTCAGCTCAGGAAAATTTTTGTAAATAAAAAAGATTTGTTTTAATCATCTTATATTTTTTAAATAATATATTGTTAGTGTAGAATTTGAAAATATTTTTTTTTGACAGATGTGTAGACCTCTAGAATATTAGGCTCTTAAAAAACTTTTTTTAAAAGAGTTTGATAAATATTTCTAATAAAAGTTATCCTGCCTTTTTTTTTCTAATAACATAGGAATGCATCTTGTATTTAGAAGCTTCTACTGAGTTTTCCAGTTTAGCAATATTAAGAGAAAAGGCAAAAGTTACTAAACAAAGCTGTATTTTAATTCAATGTGTTACACAATATTTTAAATTTGTCTAGAGATTCTTATTACATTTCTGTAAATTTTTTTGAGAAACCAAAGAAACAGACTAACTTGTAAATGTTAGTGAAAGATTATGTTTAATTTATTTCATTTATTTAAGAATAATTACTGTTGGGGATACTAATATTTAAGTACACCATTAAAGAGATGTGACATGAGATTGCATCACTCCAGTATTATTAATTTTAATTTGTTTAAATGATATTAATAAAAAAATTTTATTAGATAATTAAAATGAACTTTAATTGAGCTGTTATAAATTTCAAAAAATATTCATATTCACAAACATTGCTAATGTCTTCATAACTATTTGCTGCTAATAGCTACTACCTATAGTTTTAAGATCTCTCAATTTTTAGTTCTACAAGTACAAGCAAAAATCGAAGAATTAAAAATTGAATCATCAAGTGATGAGCAGCCATTACCATTTGGTGTGGTTAGATTCCTGTCTTCAAGAAACACTCCTACCAGGCTCTCCTTGGACTAAGGTATTATTATTATTAATTATAGTTATCAATACAAGTAACACAAAACTTTATTAATTTTTTTAAGAAGAAACATTAATAACACATAATCCCAGAAAGTGGCCTTTACTTCTTTCAACCCCTGATGCCTCATTGATTAGCATCTAATTTCCTCATACATTCAGCATCAGTAAGTTAAATTGATTTCCAACTTATTTTGATTAGCATTTCCTGTTTTTGAGGATATCTGATCATAGTTGTCATGTTCCTAAAATAAAGGAGGGAACAAATTATGTAGTTGTAAATGTTTCAACTAGAAATTTATTTTAAGTTAGAGTGGATATTTTGGAGGACTTAAGAACTTTATCACCCAAGAATGATAAACAAAATAATTATTAATATGTTAAAAATTTTGAAGAGAAAGTGAGGGCTGGTTGTAGGTTAACCTAAATAGATAAGCATGACGAACATCATTGAAAATATGCTGCTAAAACAGTCAGCATCTACTTTACAATTTCATGCAAATGTGAAACAATAAGGAAGATCTAGTACATTTTTTAATAGGTATAATTATAAATCAACATGCCCTCTGTAATACCCTGGTGTGTTGATCCAATGGTGTAAAACATCCTCATTACAGTAACAACTGAAGGTTTTACTTGCAAATTTTTATTGCAGATTAAAGATGTAATCAATGCAAGGCTAGCCACCAAGGTGGAAACATTTTGCAAACATTCTCAAACTGAGAGGATTCAATCTTTGTTGCATCTGCTGGGAAGACAGTTTGTTGAGACATACCTTGGCAGTTTAACTCTCTACAACCAGGTCAATCCCTTAGATCAAATGAAAATTGAGAACAATAATTTCATATTAAATACATTGGATTGGACATTTGTATATCCAAGAAGTGGTTCTTTGTACTTCGATTTCAGGGTGAATGATGCAAAATGGATTCCTTGAATAAGTAAATTTGACCCTTTTTTTTGTGCTCAGTTTTTGTGCAACTTACTATAAACTGAAATATATTTAAACTGAATTAAAGCTAACATAAGGCAATATCTAAGGAGAAATTGTCCAGCTCTAAAAAAATCTGAAGTGATTTACACCTCTTTGGCCTGTGTTATTTTGCTATCAGTGTCATCCTAACTACAGCTTATTGCAGTATTATCATTTTAAGTTTATTACTGTTATTATTACTATTATTATTATTAGTTGTCAGTACAAGATCAATTAAAACTTCACTTTAAACTATGCTAAGCATTACAAATTATCAATTAAAATAGGTCATCCAAGATAAACCAGATCTCTCAGATTCTTACAAAGAAGAAGCAGAAGCATGGCTGAAAACAGCACTTAATGAGATCACAAGAAGCCTTGGGTTACAATGGAGAGAGAGCAGCGATGCTGTGTCTAGAGATATATTGGAGTTTGTTGGGTTTGCACAGCAAACGGTGTACAGAGGAATGGAGAGGGAATTGGCAGCAACAGAACCAAAGATTGCTCATGATCATCAAAAGGTAAATATTGTTTCCAAATTTAGAATATTTTAAGGGTCAATTCCAATTTGCAGCTCCCTTTCAGGTACCTGGCAACACTGATTAGACCAGTGGAAAGAGAAAAAGAAGTTACCTGGGGTGATCCAGAGTACCTTTTAAGCTTTGATTTTTAGTTGTTTGATTTGATTTTTGTGGTTCCCAATTGGAAGCTATATCTATACTGTGTAGCATACACAAGGAGAATGACTTTAATTACTAATTCTTTCATTTGGCATTGTTTAAAACCAAATGAAGGAACTTGACTTTACACTGTATTTTAAGAATCAATTTACTTGATTTCACTGTATGTACTGGATTGAAGAAAAATAATTTATGGTGTGTGTTTTTCTTCACAGGGTTTATCAAACAAACGCCAGCCAAGTCTTCTTGGATACAGTCACCAAAGTGAAACTCTTGGCAAAGCTGTGGCTGCCCTCCTCAAAAAACACCCCTCTCAACTCGGCCACATCTGTGAACAACTCCAAGGACGACCATTGACCAATTCCTTAAGACACCTGATTTGGTCTACAAGATTACTTAGAATTAATCTGGATGGAGAAAAATCACACAAAGACTTAGAAACTGTTATGGAAGAATTAAGATCTCAGTTTGAAGTGACTCTTTCATGGGGTTTAAAAGAACTGGGTGTGTCAAATGCAGTTCACTCCCCCATAGCAGGGGTCATAGAACATGCTGTCTCCGAGGCATACAAATACAGACATGGTTTACACAGTGAATTGGTAACAGATATGCAAAGAAGGCTAGCAGTGGAAGGACTGAATGTGCTGTATGTCTATAATAGGAGTTATGAACCTCAGTATGCCGTGCTGGTGTATCCACTGATTGTTGGTGCTCTCAATGAATATGACAATGCAAGTATGACGAATAGTTTGTTATTTAGTTAAGCTTGTTTTGAAATATATGAGATATTTTTAAAGTAATCCACCATAAGCTTAACTAGTTTTTCCAGTCAGTGATTATCATCTCAAATGTAGGCACGAATGGAATGTTCGAACTTTGTCACAGCAAACATCTTCATACAAGGGACCAAAAAAAATATAATGCATGCACATGTAGGTTAGAGTCAATTGAGATCAGTGGCTTAATTTTGGCAGCCATGTCTGGTGGGTCCCCAGGTTTGCAGAATTTTTTAGCGGGGCATGCACATTCTGCATTCAAGCAGCATGCACAAACTGGGCACAGTCATCTCCCGTCATTACCAGCTGTAGGCATATTACTCAAGCTTGTCAGCTGGTGATGAGAATGACATAACATACTTACAGTAACTGAATAATCATATATATATATATATATATATAACTAACTGCAGACAGTACTGTTTTGGCCTTCTGGGCCTCATCAGTGCAGTGCTGATGCTAGGATGGGGGAGAACCGATATGGTTACCCCGAACGATCCCACATTTGTGGTATCGTCTAAGCCATACCAGAGTGCTCAAACTAGGAAAGTCTAGTGAGCTATGCGCAATGCTAGCAGCAATGACTCACCCCACAGTGCTCAATTCGGACATGAAAGTAGAGCTTTGTATGCCAAAGAGCTATATCTAAGTTTGATGAATTGTTTTCTCTCTCTCTCTCCTGGGAGAGGCATGGTATACATATATCTTATTAACCAAGCACGAGGGCCATACGACTAAAGTTCAAAGGGACACAAGTGCGGTATCATTCGGGACCATTTGGGACAGTGCCTGGTCCAATACTGATAGAATATTGACCGGCAATAGAGCATTTTGATTGGTTGATTTTAGTTATTGGCCCTCTGACTGCCTGAGTCGTGTAATAAATACATGTATGTAAGTTGTTAAGGTTAAATTTCAGAGTTACTCAGTTTTTGCTTCTTGACAATCATTGTTTGACTGACAATTTTTCATGAAGGATGGAAGGGTGTGCAGAATATATTTAGGAGGCTTATACATCTTTTATGGGTTTCTGAAATTAAAATATAGCTCACTGTATTCAATAATGTAGATAAATTTTTTCGTCATATGAAAACACAGGTAGCATTAATTAACAAAGTTGAATTAAACTATCCTCCTTTCAGTGATGTAAATTTGTCTTCAGAATGTTTCTTTTTTTTTTTCTTCAGGAAACTCTTATCCCCAAGATGTGGCTCATAAGCTTGCAATAGCCCTGCACCTTTTGCTCAAAAATTGTTTCCCAACAAGGCTGCAAATTTTTAGCATGGCTGATCATGTCATGCAAAGACTGCAACAAGAAGATGAAGAGCTGTACAATCACCTCACAAGCGAAACACTAAAGAACATTCCTTCCAACCCAAGAGAATTCCTGGTCAATTTTATACACACTGAGAAAGAAAAGGCCATGTTAGCAGAAAGACAGGCAGTGAGAAGTTCATTCGAATCATTGCCATCTGATGCAAAAGAGCTGCTGTTCCATCCTGTTATGTTTATAAGAAAATGGATGGGGGAGGTATATATAAGGAACTCCTTATCTTAACCCTTTCACCTACGAGATCTCTATTAGTAATTCTCTTTACTGTCTGCCATACAACTCTTAGAATTTTAGTGCTAAGAATTTGGTATTTGGACGACTAGTAAACCCCTAATTGATATTTTTCTGTATTCTCGTCACTTTTCTGCTTGATAATGTATTGATGTTGTGTGGAGAAATTCTATCTTGGTCACTCATGGCAGTTATAGGCCGGGTTAACCCTTTACATTGTGACATCAATACGCATATTCTCCAACCTGTTTTCTGTACATTACCTAAGGTGCTGACAAGGAAAATTTTTTTTTTTAGTTGGTGATCATTTCCTTTATTCTCTTGCTCATAATATTTGATTCAGGGGTGATGTTGTCAGGAGAAATGAAATGTTGGTCGCTCTTATGGATGAAAGGGATATAATGTTGATTTATGAGGTTCTAAACTAAGACCATGATAGCACATTCATATTATAATACAGGTCAAAGATTTGGAAACTTTCTGAAAAATTTAATTTTTGAATTTTGGTATTTTTTTTTTTTTTTGTGGTTTTTAATGAGAAGGGTGGATCAAGAGAATGGTGTGAAGTTGGCATAGTTCTCTTCTTCATGTAAATGAAAAATAGCTCAAGCCATTGAAAGCTGGCTGAAAAACACTGTTTAGTAGACAAATAGTTCTTCCTTGATAACACCTTCATTTTTGATTATTTCTGTAGGGCTTTGTTGGCATTCTGGGAGTCCATGCTGTCATGCTTGTGTGGGATCAATTCTTCCTCAGTAACTGGAAGCACAATGTAATGGAGAACACATGTCTTGTCATTCTCCAGCTCTTGAGAACACACATTTTAGAAGCTGAAGGTTATATGGGCATCAGAAGGATTTTGTTGGATCAACCTTCTGAGCTGTTCACTGTGGATGTTCAAAAAGGATTATCATACCTGGACAATGGAGGAGCATTGATTGACGTTGGATCACTTAGACAGTATGTATGGCTGAGTCATAGCTTTTCCTTTAAAAGTTTGGTCTCAAGGTGACTCAGTTACCCATAGTTGTAATCAGTGCTTTCCCCAAGTGCGCTTGTCAAAGATATCTGTTGGTGGAGCTTTTTCAACTTTGATCAGAAAGCTCGAAATTGAGGGAAGAATACTGGGCTCCAAGCTCTGTCAACTTCATATCATCCCTTTATTTGATGAATTATATCCCTTAGTTAAGATGAGTGATAGAGTGGGAACCAAGTAACTTCTCCTCAGTTAAAGTTGTATGTAGCTAAAAATGTCTACTTGTGGTGTTTCTGTATCATAGGCCAACTCCTGTCCCATCACCCTCAGAGCATAGCGAAATTGTACCCAGCCCAGTGCCATCTGCATCTGAATCTCCTCAGTCATCACTGTCCAGACCCATCAGTAGACGCTCTACACCCAGTACTCCTGTCCAAGCAGATCCTGTGGAATTATGGGTTGAGACCAAAGCGACATCATCACCCATTGAAGAGAGTACTAACTATGATTCATTTGATGTTTATATTGATGAAGTGAGGTTTTTACCTGACAATGCTACTGTTATTAAGGTGATTGATCTAAGAGATCTCTTCTGTTACCATATTCTGTTCAATACAACTTAGAATACTTGGGAGATTGTAAGTTAAATTAATTGTTTCTCATAACATGTCTAAAATTCATTCTTATGAGGCATTTACTATGAATTCACGAGATAAAAGTTCCTGACCTGTAATGGTGCTTGTGACAGTTGACAGAAGTGAATGATACCCTGGTCAAAAGTTGTTGAAACACTTTCATTACTATCTTATGCCCAAAGCCTTGTATGAAATATGCGACTTATCCATGGTGAAAATTATTCCGGTGAGTGTATTCCAAGCTCTTCCCCCTCTTAGCCTCCAGTATGGCAGCTGAAACAACTGCAGCCTTTCTGAACATTCATCGGATTCCTACCAATGTTGCAGAGGAGGGAAACCGCCTCCCGGTTAGCTCAATTGGTTAGAGCATTGTGTCGTGCGGGAGGTCGAGGGTTGGAGCCCCAGCCGGACCAGTACTCATGGTCTTAAAATAAGTGAAGAGAATTTGCTACCTTTCTATAACTAAGAAATGGATAGATATTCTAGTCTTCACGAATAAGGACAAATAAACCGTAGGCCCTGTCTCCTGCAGGGTTAGGGGTAGGAGATGTTAATTTCCCACACACAGGATTACTGTGTGGTGGATGTCCTTCCCTGGGTGGTATGGGTGGGTGTTGGCCCTGAAAAGCCCCTATGGGGAGTGGTCAATTGACCTATGTATGTATGTATGAGGGAGGGGGGTACTGTTGGGGAAAGGTTTTTAAAATGCATTCATTTTAAACTGTGTTGTTATTTGTATCCCAAAGGTTTTGTGGAGGGTTGTAGCCAAAAATAAATGGTTCTTTGCAATTTTGATCGCTTTTACTCTTTGCTGATGTAGGTTACTGGCCGTATTTTGGGACCTTTTTGGAAGACACCTGAGACTTTAGAGGTCTCAGACATTGAGGCATTTCCAATGTTAGATTCATCAGCAAGATGTCCTAAATTTCATTATAAATACACTGTGAGTGCTCCTGAGAGTGGCATTCAGGAAGAAGTTATGATGCTGCTGAGAATCTACACACTGGATGTTAACAGTGGAGAATTGATTGTTATTGGGAACAGCATAATCAGGATTTTCACTGAAAAAGGAGACGATGAGGTACTAGCACGAGGAAGAAAGACTTACATGTATATTATAATAAATAGTCAAGGGTGGTTGCGATCTAGATGGGTATGAAATACAATGAAAAAGTTCTGTATGCTTCAACTTTAATCTCAGTATGCATGAAAAAGAGAATTTCCTCAGAGGTGGATGGGGGAATCACTAAAACCCCCCTCTACCCTACCCTCTCACTGAGATGTATGAACTAATTCCACATGCCCTCTTTATGTTATCAGTGACAATCTTTTAATTATTTTCCAGTGGCGTCTCAAAGCTGGAGGACATCAGCACCCCCTGAAACATATTCTTCCATCCACTGTGGCCAAACTTACAGAGGAATCTTTTGATGACATAACAAAGGTTCCTGTCTGTTCAGTTCTGATCAGGCTCTTACCTCATTCAGAGGTTTGTTTTGTACATATTAAATATTTATCTGACTGTTTTGAGATGTTGTGAAATATTTCCTGTTGGAAAGTACAATGAAGAAGATCATGAGCTACAACATGATATAAATAACAAAGAAAACTATTTACCAGAACTTCATGAATTGATATCAGATAAATTATTATATTTCTTTTTATTTTTTATTTAGGAGTTCATTGAGTCCCCTGGTTATGCTAGTGGATTCTATGTCAGTGATCAGTGTAAACCCAATGAATCAGAGTTGCGCATATTCCCAAGGTTCCAAAGCCATCATGCTTATCCTCCTACAGTAAGAGAGGCTGTGCGTGACGTCAAAGAAGGAGAAACAAATCATGATGCAGAAGGTTTATCTTCTTGTGTGTCTGATATGTGACATATTAATGCCTCAGCTACGATCTTTTTGGTATTTTTACGCTTAAGGTTTTAGACAAGATCTAATTTGTTTACAATAAGTGTATGTTTTGTAAATCAAAAAGTCGATTATCAGCAACATGAATTAACCAAGAAGTGTAAAGTAATGGAGAGTGTTTATCAACTCTGAATTGAAATGAACTTATGTCTTTGAAATTTAGCCACTCGATAATTTTGTGCTGTAGGCGGAGAGTTGTGCAATCAGCAATTGTGCTGTCAGCAATAATGCTTGTTGAACACCCTAAACGAGGCTTTTGAATTATTGCTTTTCTTAGAATTTGACTTCACAAGTGATCAAGTTGTCACTCAGTGGTATCAACAAAGGACAAGCAAACACATTCTGATGAGGGAGCCAGCCAAACCAATGGACCTTATCAAAGTTGTGCAGTATGACCAGAATCAAGTAAGATGGTTAAATTTACAAATTTTTTTTTTTTGAGCATTACAGTGATAATGTCCATAATTGTATGGACATTTATAATTAAACAGTGAATTCTGCGGGTTACCATAACTTAATTAACAATTTGTGGGTTTTTTTTAAGTTTTCAGGGTTTATCCATAATGGTTGAACAGGCATTTGGCCTCCCAAACACACACTTTGTAAATGCCCTGTTACATGTGTCTCCCGGACGTGATGTTCAAGGAAAAGAAGCAACAGAAGAAGGCTATGGTGGAGAAGAGAAGGCGTTGGTAAAACAAAGGGACTTCAACAGCTACCAGAAATCACCTAAATGGATAGACCCATTCATGGTGAGTACACTCAGATACTTGTGACCCTTTATGTTATGGTCACTTCCTAAAACAGTTATTAGTCTGCAAGGATGTACCAACCTTCTTTTGCAAGGCCCTGTGTCCTGAGATCCAACCTCTTGATATCACTTTCACATAATTATTTAGACTAAGAAACATTAATTGCTTCGTGTCTCAGTCTATACCCTCTGTTAACCTTACAGTGTAAGAAGAGAATTAAAGAAAACAGAACCATTTCAATTACTTAATATTGAACCAATTAACCCTAATTAACTTCCAAGACCTGATTATTAATTGTCTCCTCTAGCTGCTACACATTTCCTTGTAAGTAAGTTGCGAGAATTTGGTATTGGATGAAGATAAGAACCTTTCCCTGATAAGTTTTGAGCATTCTCATTACCTATTTGCTGGTTGATGTATAGATGTTTTAGGGAGAAGTTACATGTCAATCACCTCTGGGAGTTAAGGGGTTAAGTGTCTCTTTAAGAGTAATTCCAGAAGAGATATGGGCTGCTTGTCTCAAGTTGAAACTTTTTCACCTACTGGTAAATATGTCCCCTGAGCCTCATGTAATGAATAAAAATTCAGTTGCATAAAAGATAATTACTGTCAGTAGGAGAATTGTTATCTACCATTTGGTAATTAATGATCAATTGATAGTATGTAATTGATTTGTCTCGTCTTCCACAGGTGTTTCACCCTCACTGGGATGACATGACAGTTTTGTTAATAAGGCTGTACTCCCTTGATGCTTCATATACCCCTCGCACTGATGGAGCTGGACCAGGCTCTGTTGCTGATCGAAAAGGAAAGACTTTGACTCTTGTGCCAGCTGGATGGACCGTACTCAAGCTCTTTACTAGGTAAGATTACTGAGTATAGGTCAAGATACAAGTATGGCTGATATGTATTAAACATAAAACTGTGCTGTTATGTGAGAGCATTTTTAAGAATGTTTAATTTGTAATGATTGATTTATTTTGTACTTTAATTTTAGATTCCAGTTACATATTACCTTACAAAAAACTAAGAATATATAAAGCAATGGTCATCATTGTTCAATGTTCAAATGTCACATTTCAAACACACAAGAAGATAAACCTTCTGCATCATGATTTGTTTCCCCTTCTTTGACTTCATGCACAGCCTCTCTTACTGTAGGAGGATAAGCATGATGGCCTTGGAACCTTTGGAATATGTGCAACTCTGATTCATTGGGTTTACACTGATCACTGATCACTCCTGTGTGTGAACCCTTTTAGTCACGGGAGTGATCATTAAATAATTTCACCCCACAAAATAATTACTGCATGATAGAGAAAGGTGATTAAGAGAAGTGAATCCATCAATGAGGGAATATTGTTTGACATAACACAAAATTGTCAGCGCTAACGTGATAACTAGAATGAGTGTCCAACAGTGAGAAACACATTAATCAATTATACTGTACTTGACATAACCATAACACTTTTTTTTCAAAGTCAGAGCTGATTGAATTGTTTGTCTTCAATTAACAGGGAGTACGTGAATGCTGGAGTGCACTATTTACCTCTCTTTGAAGGGACTCCTAGTACAGTAAGTGTTCTTATATGCCTGCAGTTACTCAAAGGATTAGAGACAATTGCAGTAGATTGCAAATTTCCAGCACTTTGAAGTTTATAATTTTGGCATTGTCTTGGAAGAGATTCAAGAACAGTCAGCATTATTATTGAAAGTAAGGGTCATTGTCTGTCTCTCTGACAGCAAGTGTACTTGAACAGTGTTAAGAATAACCTACATGACGACTTTGAAAGTGTGTGTTAATATTATGGTATCTTTTTCTCTCTCAGACTTTCCTAGAATTTTTATCCAATCATCCAGTGGAGACAAGTTTACAAGAAGCAATCAAACAACACATACACACTTTATTGGTAGGTAACAAAATTTTCTTGTTTTCTCTCCCAACGTTGCTAGTCTTATAATTTGTTACATGTTCATTTAATTGGAGAGAAGTGGGTGATATATTGAGAAACTATTTACATTATCAAATTTCTTATGTTGCAAAGATGAGTAAAATACTGCTGTCTATCTGTGTTTGTTATGTAGAAGTACTTGTTGAAATATTCTAGCTTAGTCAATGCTTGAGATTTGTATCAGAAGTGTTCTCTAGTTTTCTTGGCAACAAGAGATAGATAATTTAGTACTAGTGGTGGCTTGATTAAGACCGGACACTGCAAGCTACAGTGCAGGTCAGCAGAGGAAAGCAGAGATGGCTAGATAGTGAGTTTCACAGACTTCAGGTAATAATGATAAAAATGACCACAATCATGATATTTATGTGAAGATTGAGTTCCCTAATGAAGATACATTTATCTCAACAGGGCACCTCTTGTGTGGCTATCCGCCTTTGGGATGCACATTACTCCCCAGATGAATGCATTCCTTTACCAGTAAGCAAGAACCATAAATTACATGAGTTGTACACATACAAGACAATTTGGTTTTATCGACTGAGTTGATAATGGAAATTGACCTTCCGTGATAAAGAGTTTGTGAGTTGAGGTTTCAAGCAACCCTTCATCTGACAAAGGGCTAACACTCAAAATTCAGCTTACACTTTTTACAATGACCAATTTACAGTTGATAATACCAAGTTATCTTGTTATACTCTCCCACCGATGCAACCCCACAGTTTCTTTAATAACTTACCCCCTTTCATCATTTGTGTACAATCAGCCTGCCTCTTAAAGTATTTTTGATGAAACATTCCAAACTTGAACATATTTTTCAGTTACATCTGTTTGCTTGTAGTGTTACTAACTTGAACTGAATTAATGTTGCTTATTTCTGAATTTTTGAAATCTGATTAGTACTTCTGATTAGAATATGTCCTTTTTTTTTTTTTTAACCAATCATGTACATATGTTTTTTTATATATTCTTAGATTATATTATATTAGATGTTGTGATTAATTAATTTATTTGAATGTATGGTCAGTAATTTATATAATTATTGTTCCTGAAAAACCCCACTGGGGAGGCGACAGTAAAGTATGTAGTTAAACATTGGTTAAGAAAGCATTTTTAATTTGAACTTTATTTCTTGTTCCTCACCCTTTCCTCTTTTCTTTGCTGAATTCTAACAGTATAAGGTCTATAACATTCCCTCTGTTTATGAAAATGAATTTACTAATAGGACTAAGCAAATCCTTTTTGAGAACTCTGATGTATTAAGCAAGATTCAGAAGTGTAGTTCTTTTGGTATTCTTCTGTCATACAGGTCAAGGAAGAACTTTTATCTCTTGGAAGACGAGACAGATACAAGAAAACAATTCAGACAACTTCAGGGAAGTTGATATCTGATGTGATACTACAGACTCTCACTCGGCAGGAACGGAAACAAGGTGTGGTAGGGAGTCAGTACATTGCTGAGAAAGAACACTATGAAGAGGCTATGAATGGTGCATTCAATGATCTTTTGGTAAGAAATCGCATGACAGTTAATATGATTACAGACCAAATTGGACGACCCAGAGCCTTGTCACCAATTAATCAAACCTGTGACAAAATTCAAGAAAGAAACTAGACATCGGTTATGTCTTCATAAAAAAAAAAACAGTTAATTTGAAATGTGCGATAATAGTGCTCAAACTTGATGTGTACAGCCCACTTACACAGGCATGACTTGTCAACTGTCCTAGTATGCTGTCCAATTACAAGCATGACATTAAGAGAGGCATGGTTAATGCATGCCAATAGTTAATCAAGTTTTATTCTAATACACCCTGTACTATCTGTTATTGAATTGTAGGTTGATGTTCTTCTCCAGAATGGCCTGGGACCATTGACATGATGGTGAAAGAGAGTCTGATTTTTTTTTAATGATATTAAAAAAAGTAGATTTGACATAATGAAGTCCATCTTGCAGTTTTAGATTTTTTATTCAGTAATTTATTTTAAATTTGCACAAAGCACTGGTAGACTAATGTGTAAAATATGCGAGTTGTTTTTGTACAGAAGACAAGGCTAGACAGGCAAAAAAATTGTACAGACTTGTGATAACTTTTTTTTTTTTTATGAAATACTTCACAACAAAACTGTTGATCATTGAGAGTCTGAGTGAGTTTCTTTCATTGTCAAACTTTCAAGGGCTTTTATTTTCAATCTGGCCAAGATCCTCTGGCATCTGCTATACAAAAATGCAATGCTTCTAAATTTCTTTATCCCAATCAACTTCTCCAGTTTTCAAGAAGTGTTTGGTTCTTTCTTTCAAAGAGAAAGAAATTTGTTGTTTTGATGAGACTGATTGAAATGTCGAGCTTGACACCATAAGTATTTTTTTGTCTACATGTTGTATTACAGGTGACCTTTTAACATTCATTTGTCCCCTAGTCCAAGATTTGCTTGGAAAAATGCACCATCCCCTTGAGTCGCAGTCTGAAAATGAAAAACAAAAACAAGGGAAGATTTTAATAAGGAGCAGATCTTGATTATTTATTTATTTATTAAGTAATTCTTATCCTGATTATCAATGCTGATGATTACTTGTTTGCCCTGAGCCATGAGATTTTCTTTTAATTCAAAGACTTGCATCATTTCAAATAATCATCATGCAATAAACAATATGACAGGATCTTTACAATGTACAACATTTATTTTCTTACAATACTATATTAACTTGCAACATCATTTACTTTTGAGAATAGAAATTAACCTTCATGAAATTTTACAACCCTTATCTGTGCACGAGTTTTGTCCTTCAATTTACCTTGTTTATTGCTTTATGTCTCTCTCTGCTGACAATCTCTTCTAAAACCTCACCTGTCCCTTTGATTAGCCTGAGCACGAGAAAAAAAATTGATTGAGAAGTGTTTTGCAGTCTCTTATTATGCTATCATGAGATAATATATCTTATTAACCAAGCGCGAGGGCCGTACTGGGAGAATATCGGCCTGAGGTCTTAACGGTACGGATCGAGTGCAGCGAGGTCCGTACAAAGAAGACCGAGGGCTGATATTCTTCTAGTACAGTCCCGTGCAAGCTTGGTTAATAAGAGATTTATTGTGCGACTGAAGTTCAAAGGGACACAAGTGCAGTATCATTGGGGACCATTCGGGACAGTGCCCGGTCCAATACTGAGAGAATATTGACCGGCAATAGAACATTTTGATTGGTTGATTTTAGTTATTGGCCCTCTGACTGCCCGATTCATGTAATAATACTATTGTCATACACGCAGCAAAAAAATCCTCAACAAAATTTGCATTTCTTGATGCGAAGACAACACTCTACCAGGGAAACCCCTGGTAATATTTAATTGGGAGAAATTTCCCAGTTAAGGAATCATAAAGCTATGCATGAGCAATGTCTGTAATATGTCTGTCTGTCCATCTGTTTCTGTCTGCCTGTCCATCTGTGTCTGTCTGTCTATCTGTGTCTGTCCATCTGTGTCTGTCTGTCCATCTGTTTCTTTCTGTCCATCTGTCTGTCTGCCTGCCTGCCTGCCTGCCAATCTGTCCCAACAAATTTTTTTGCAAGAACACTGCAAGTAACAAATGGTGAACATAATTTTAGTAGATTTAATTTTGGAAAATAGCTTTTTTTAACTAGCTATAAACTAAACTACATTATTACACGCATGCCATGAGAGCATTTGATTATCTGAAGGATATCTTTACCTGTGACGACCTGTTTCTGGGTCATAAACCCTTCTAACTTGGGCTTGTTGTTTTTCAAACTCCTCTTTTGTCATAGGGACCATGGGTCTTTTAGAAAAATCAAGAAGAAGATACAATAAGTAGTTATTTGCGAAAAAATCTTACTATTTTTGCCAGTGATCGCGAGAGCCACCAACCTCTTCTTTGGTGCTGCCACTGCTCCAGGGTCATTTGATGGTGGACTTATTGATTTATCACCTGCAATGTATCAATAGAAATTAGAAAAAAAAAATGATTGTAAGCGTGATAACTTATATATAGATTAACTTTTCTTTAACTTTTTTTGTATCAAGAAAACCAATTTTTGCCTTTTGCATGACCTTGTGCCTATTCAGTTTTAATATTCGATTTTTATGACTGTCTCTTGATGTTCAAGAACTCGTCACTTAAATTTGTATTGTTACGTTAATGATGGGTCCAAATATTTTACTTCCTGTTTAAAATACCTTGTGTTCCATCAGTGTTTTTCGAGGTTGTATCTTTTTCGGCTCTTTTGACATCAGCCTTTTCCTCGTCTGATCCCTTTCTCATTTTTCTCATCTTCTCTTTCCTTTCGCGTCTCTTTTTTCTTTTCTCTTTCTTTCTTCTTTGTTTGTTCTTTCGATCTGCATCTTTCCTTTTCTTTCTCTTCTTTTTGTGCCCACTGCTATCAGAGCAGTCATTTCCACTTGTCGATCTACTTTCACTCGTATTAGGTTGTTCATGCTTTGATTTCTTTTCATCCCTCTTTTTCTCATCTAGCTGTGTTTTTGAGCTTTTTCCAGCAATTTTTCGAGACTTTGGTTCACCTTCAGAACTCGTGCCATCAGACTCACTCTCATGTCTTCGTTTTCTCTTTTTCTTCTCGTTCATGTCGCTTTTAGCTTTGGGAATTCCGCAATTACTTCTAATAGTATATAGATAGCAGCAGGAAAAAGGAAATCGGACGAAAATTTCCAGCAAAATTACTCAATACAAGTTCCCTGAGAACAAAGCTATTTAAGGACGCCATCTTGGTTTACGCGTGAGGAGAGAGCCTGGGGGCTAGTACTTAGTCTTTCACGAATCTATGCCTTACTTTCAGGTGACAATTTGGTTTTACAGCTAAACCTTTCCACAACTGCCACCTTGTGGTCAGAAGAAAGTGACCGCTGTGGAGAGGCGGCGGCTATAGAGAGGGTTAAATTGAAGGTATGGGAAGCCATCGCGACAAAAAAAAGTGGCCTTTAGAGGAGGTTCGACTGTAGTTGGAGAGAGAACAAGAAAAAAAAAATTAAAATACCCGAGGTAATAGAAGATCATCAGAAAACAGAAAGCTTAAAATTCAAACCTCAAATACTTCTCTCAAATATAACCGTGAAACTGATAGCCTTAGGATCAAATTATCAAAAAAAACAAAAAAACAAAAAAATACACAAAAATATGCTTCTGAGTATTGTGTGAAAGGGATTTTCAAACGTAGAGAAGAGTTGAAGCGGAGAATGAAAATGAACCGGCACATGAAATAACTTAAGATTTCCCTTTTTTATTTGAGACAAAGAATTTATTCTTTAAAAATATCAGTTGGTTCTATCTCGCTTTATTTCAGAGTTTGTTCAGTTGCACATGGTCAGTGAGTTGTCCCTTCGATTCTTTGTCGAATGATTGGTAAACTTGGTGAAGATATTTCTGCACGTATCGGTGTCTAGTTTTCCATTCAGGTGAACAACAACACGATTATAAAGCAGAAGTTGATGAACGTAACCCAGCCTATTGTTACAGAACCAGAAAAATAAAATGTCTCTCGCCTTCTGGGCGTTACTGATAGGTAAGTTCTTTGAAGCTGACTCACTGTACATTTTTTTAGCGACCATTTTGCCCAATTTTGGAGGCGTAGACGTGTTTCTTTTCTCCGCAAGATTAATTTTTTCTGCGAATTTTCAGATTTTTTTTTTTTTCAGTGCTTTTCGATGTCAACCATTTCGTACAAACATCTGTTATAGATGAACTGGTGTTCCTTACGGGATTAACCAGAAAGTGACGACCAGCGTTTGTTTCCATGGGCTTTCTTTTCATTAGGTAACCCCTTCCATTTCCGTTATGGTCCATAAGTTTGAAGCCCCCTTTTCCGGCCCAGTACCAGTCCCTTATGGTTCTAGTCGATCAGTCTGTTTGTTCTCCCCTATTTTCGGTCATTGGCGTTACTTGAACATGCTGCACAGTCACTTGGCGCCCGTTTGGTTTTGAACAAGGAAAACCGTATTGCCTTGTGTAAAGAAAAAAGTCTATAGTGAACAGGATAGGCGATATGAATCCAAAAACCTGAAAAGAGAAAATGGCTATCAACGAATACCTGAAAGAAATTTGTAGCTCATTTGCTTTTGCATTTCTGTGGCTGTTAGGGGTGGAAGACAATGTTAATTGTGGTACAACAGAACATCTTGGTTTAAGATATTTATTCTAATGATTAAAAGCAACACAGCTCAATATTGTAACCTACCGAGGCAATGTTAATCTTACTGCATGTGACACATTTTGGCTGAAGTGGTGTATCATGATATGAGTCACCCAACTTAACAGCCTCGTTTGTAAGGAAACTTGACAACACGAACAACAGGACAGCGGTTACCGATGTATACATGACAATCTGTGTACGAGAAACAGAGAAGTATTATTTTCCGGTTACTTTCTTAAACACGGAAGCAATAGAAAACTCCAGTAATACTGACACATAGCATATACGAATTCTCGCTAAAAAAAGGTAAATTTTCCTTGCTTTTCAAAGTGTTTTTCATCGACAACACTAATCTCGAGGCTTCTATATTGCTCATCCCTGCGCACTATATCAGGATTCAGACCCCCTGTATTTAGGGACTGCGAGGACATGCGCAGTTCACATTAAAAGATGGTGAGCACGTGATTGGTGTTGTGATTTGGTTGAGCTCCAAATATTCCACTATGTGAACAGTTTTAGTGTTATCTTTTAATTAAGTTTTAAATGATTTATAAGTGTTTATTGTTTTTCTGTATTTCTTCTAACAGGACTACGTCTTGTCTCCTTCGCAGCCGTTGTTTGGGCTCGTCACGCAACGCTCCTTCCTTGGTCGGGGAGGGAGCGTTGCGTGACCAGCCCAAACAACGGCTGCCTGAGGGAGACTAGACTACGTCAGCTATGTTATACTTTTTGTGATCGTGTATTTTAAAAAAAAATTATATTACTTACAAAAGTATTCCAGAATTTCATATTCTTCTGCTGAAAATCGAATACTTTTACAATGAATATGATCAGTGTTACAAAATATGCCGCTCCTGTAGTCGTAAGAAACAAAGTTTCGGCAACTGTTTTCATGGCCACTAACGTGACGTAATGCTGCAACGCACCAAAACTAGTCGCCAGGCTGACCTGTCACAGAAACAGTAAACTATGACTCAAAAACTGTCAAATCGGAACGCTTATATTATACAAATAACAGAGTATAATGCGAAGTGTAATAAGTTGTTCCTTACGATTTATCAGAATTTAGACACATTGACTGATGTCAAACAGTTACAACCTTTTTCCTAAGGTCCTTTCTCTTCTCCTCTTTCTTCTGGAGGGAAGACGAGAAAGGACCCTAGGTACGATGTTGACGAAATCATGCCTTCCTTTAAGTCCAAGATGGTGAGACATGAAAACGTTTGCAAGATTTTCCAGATTTTACGATGATATTTTTGACAGAAAAATTACCAACAGCTATCTGCGAGCAAAAAAAGACACTAAGCACCCTTCGACTTGAATTTCACCTGGATCGGCAGAAATCGCTTCTTCCATGGGGAGGAAATTTAACGTGAAGTCAGAGGCTACCCTTACGAAATGTGCTAAAATTCGTACGTACCATTTCTGCAATATGTATGATCCCTGAGTATGATCTTAAAAATTTCCTGTTGATGTTTTGCCTGAAAATCCAGTTGCGCTTTTGCAGTAAGAGAGATGGCGATTTCCCTTCCATACCTTTTAACAATAATGGGTCAGTTATTAGCTTTTTTTTTTATTCAAAAATAAACTGAACTGAGTTTCCCTGAAATATTCATAGGGTAAACGTGAGAAATTTGCGTGTTATTTTTCAATTTTAAATTCTTTTTTTAGGGCCGTTTGTATTAGTTAATGACTTTCCTTTTCAATTTTGATGAGTCAGACACAATAATTATTCAGTAATTGTGGTCAATGACGAATAATGAAGTTCTAGAGTGCATCACGTGATCCCCGTTTATCACTCTGTGTCCAAAAGGTTTTTAATTATACATTAACAATGATAGATTCTAAAGTACTTCAAAGCAAATCATAAGTGACCAATTCAAAGACAACAAGAGCTTGTTCCCAGCCGTTGATGCGTGTTTCGAGTAATTTACAAAGAGAACTTAAAAGGTAGCATTATTAAGGGATTTTGCTGAATTTATGCGAAATTCGCAAAAAGCGGGTAATACGTGACCCTTGAGCACTTTGGGCACTAGAGAAATTTCGAATTTTCTTTTTGATCGTGCGAGCCGTGGGCGAGTGCATTTAGAATATTCTGTGTGACAAGAAAAGATCACTGCTCACTGCAAAGCACAAAGATATAAAAAAAAACAAAAAAAAAAAACATTCAGTTTCTCCCGAAGCGCGACAAGACACACGTAAATTAAAAAAATATGCTAATGATACAAAATTGAATTAGTTAGGATATGTGGCTAAATTCTATTATATTATGACATGTTTTGTTAAAGTAAAGATGATTGTTGAAAAGCTAAAATGAATGATGACGCATTTGAAGTTGAAAGCGGGTAAAGTGAATTCCTCGGGGACCGGTCATTATTTACCCCCTGGGGTTTGG